GCAGATCACGAAGATGTTCACCGGATTCAAGAAGATCACACTGGACGACCTGCGCAAGTCTCACGTTGTCAAGGACGTGCAGGAGTACATCATTAATCGGCTGAACTCGGACTTCAAGGACAGCATCATGCTGACCAAGGAGATCATCGAGTCGCTGCACCAGCTGTACATCAAGTCGAACGGCTGCATCCTCTATCTGGAGAAGGTTCTGCACGGCATCAAGGACAACTTCTTTAGCTTCCGCGAGATCAAGCTGATCCCCTGCACCCTGAACGGTCTGTACTTGTACATTTGCCAGAAGTCCTTCAACAAGAAGCAGTACATGAAGATCCGACCGCTGCTCAACGTTCTGCTGGCCTCCTCCGGCTATGTGGACAAGCTCTTCCTGTTCAACTGCCTACGCACGCACAACTACACGATCGACTGCCAGGAGTTCGAGAAACGACTGCAGCTCATGCGTAATATCCTGGCCTACGATTCCAACGCCCAGCGCCTCAAAATCTTCCACAACTCCTTCGCAGACTGGCTGGTGGATGTGAAGTTCGCCACCAAGAAGTTCATCTGCGACGTCAACGAAGGCCACGTCATGATCTCAATGTACTACCTGCTGGTGGCCGACACCCTCTGTGCAAACACGGTGCGTAGGTTTGCCTACCATCTCATCCGATCGGGCGAGTACCTGACCAGCCGGCACGTAGACCTCGACCTTATCCTGATGCTGCTGGAGTCGCGGCTCAATCTGAGCGACTGCTTCTACACGAACCAGATGAATTGCTGCGCCCAGTGCGAGCACGATTTCAAGTACGACGCCAACTTTCTGCCCAAGACCCGCGCCATGTTGGAGCGCTTCTTGTCCAGCGAGCTGAGCGAGCCCTTTGCCCAGTTTCTGTGCGACTTCTTCAAGCCCAGTCTCCCCACGGACGCCAAGATGTTGAAGCTGCTCATCGAGACGGGCATCAATAACGCCGAGTCCCAAAACTCCTGTGAATCCTCGCTAATGTCGCCGGAGCTCTCAGAGAAATCGCAGAACATCGATTTCGAGCTGGCTGACCTGCTGTTGTCCAGCGAGAAGAGCTGCTTGATGGAGACCCAGCGGGCGGGAAGTCCATCGGAGCACAGTGAGCCGCCAGCCGAGAGCCAGGATGAGAATGCCTCGAGCACGCTGCACCAGCTTTCTGATTCGCACCACATCGAGCTGCACAAGGGCAAGGCTTTGATCCACATTCTAGCCAACGATGGCAATCATCAGTTGCTGGAGCGGGCCCTCAATGCCTGCAAGAGCCCCATCGATCTGGAGATCGAGGATTACAATGGGCAAACGGCCTTGAACATAGCTGCGCGGAACGGACACCTTGAGGTGGTGAAGCTGCTGCTCAGCTTCTCCCAGCCCAGCAACGACGGAACTGGCCGGATGCAGCGGGTCGATGTCAATCATGCCGATCGCGATGGATGGACTCCCTTGAGATCCGCCTCCTGGGGCGGACACAGTGAGGTGGTCCGTCTCCTAATTGCGCAGCCTGCCTGCAAAATCGATCTCGCCGACAAAGAAGGACGCACTGCTCTAAGGGCCGCTGCCTGGAGCGGACACGAGGACATCCTAAAGCTGCTGATTGAGTCGGGGGCAGATGTCAACTCTGTTGACCGTCAGGGACGCACCTCTCTGATCGCCGCCTCCTACATGGGTCACTACGACATTGTGGAGATTCTGCTTGAGAACGGCGCAAATGTCAATCACCTGGACCTGGACGGACGCAGTGCGTTGTGTGTGGCCGCTCTGTGCGGCTCCTCCGGGTACAGTAAGGTTATCTCAACGCTGTTGGATCACGGCGCCAATACGGATCAGTTGGACAACGACGGAATGTCGCCTCTGCTGGTCAGCTCCTTCGAGGGCAACGCCGAGGTCTGTGAGCTGCTCCTGGAGAATGCTGCTGATCCGGATCTTGCTGACTTCATGGGACGTACTCCGCTGTGGGCCGCCTGCACGGCCGGACATGCCACTGTGGTGAAGCTGTTGCTCTTCTGGGGCTGTGGCATCGACTGCATGGATTCCGAAGGACGCACCGTGCTGAGCATTGGCGCTGCCCAGGGCAATGTGGAGACAGTGAGGCAACTGCTCGACCGCGGCCTGGATGAAACGCATCGTGACAATGCCGGATGGACGCCACTGCACTATGCCGCCTTCGAGGGCTTCCACGAGGTGTGCCTGCAGCTGCTCGAGTCGGGAGCCAAAATCGACGAGTGTGACAACGAGGGAAAGACAGCTTTACATCTGGCAGCTCAGGAAGGACGTCTCAACTGCGTTCAGGCCCTCCTGGACATCCATTCCAGCTTTGTGGACCAAAAGGCTCACGACGGAAAGACGGCCTTCCGGCTGGCTTGCCTAGAGGGCCACATGGACACCGTGGAGTTTTTGCTGAAGTTCTGCTGCGATGTCAACTCGAAGGACGCAGACTCGCGGACCACTCTGTACATCCTGGCGCTGGAGAACAAACTGGAGATTGTCAAGTACCTGCTGGACATGACCAACGTAGATGTGAACATTCCGGACAGCGAAGGACGCACGGCTCTACACGTGGCCGCCTGGCAGGGACACGCGGATATGGTTAAGACCTTGATCGAGGCCGGGGCTGATGTTAACTCCATGGACTTGGAGGCTCGCACACCTCTGCACTCGTGCGCCTGGCAGGGCAACCACGACGTCATGAACATCCTGCTCTACTACGGAGCTCTGGCCGATCACGCGTGCAAGCAGGGAGCCACTGCCCTGGGTATTTCCGCCCAGGAGGGCCACGAGAAGTGCGTGATTGCCCTGCTTCAGTTCGGGGCCAATCCATACAAGTCCGACCACTGCGGACGCACGCCCATCAAGCTGGCAGCCAAGTCGAGTCGCACCAGCATCCTGAAGATATTCGAGAGCTACACAAAAAGTAAGACCCCGCGCAGGAGAAGCCTCTTGCTTTGTTACTAATGCTTTCCCCTTTTGTCCCTTCCCTCCCGGTTCCCTAGATGAAGCTAGCAATCCCAACGAACCCAAGTTCCACGCACATGCCAGCATGCTGAGGTCCCCGGACCAGCCGCCGGCCCTGCCGCTTCACCAGAATCTGGCCCCGTATCCGGCGCATGCCTCGGCCTCTTCAGTCTGTTCGGCGGCCACCACTGCGACGGTGCACAATGGCAGCAACCTGCATGTGCTTAATGCCTCCAGCTCCACGCACAGCTCAAACAACTTCTACCAGAACACGATGCAGTCGGACACGAGCAGTTTGCACAAGCGCAAGAGCGTCATCTCTAGTCAGTCCACGGGCAGCAGCAATGATGTGAGTATTGGAATCTATAGCCTATCTAGGTTTGAGTCTGAAATTGAGTTTTTATATCCACAGCAAGCACCACTTACCTTCACCCAGCAATTGCAGCGACAAAGCAAACTCAGCTCACGCAACAATCTGATGGTCAACTCGAAGCACGCCTCCAGCTCAGGCGCATCAGGACACAAGTCCGGAGGCGGTGGCGGCGGCGGTGGGCAGCGGCACTCCCAGGTTTTGCCCGATCTCAGCGAGCATCAGCTTGGTAAGTTGCCTCTGGGCATCCGTCAACTCCCAGTTGTATTTAATGTTATTTGTTTCCATATAGCATCTAATATGGCCAACGATGCGGACATGTACGACATGGAGTGCATGTCGCCGCTGTATGCCACGCCACCGCATTCGCCCAGCAGCGAGCTGAGCTCTCCGGGCCAGTTGCCGGGCCTGAACGCCTTTGTAGACGATGACAGAGCCGGAACCAGCAGTGGCGGAGGGGCCAAGTCCTCGTTGCCGGATAATCACTTTGCCCGGGACACGCATATGAGGATTATATTGGGCAACCTCAAGGAAAACCAGCCCAGCTCCTCGGGGTGAGTAGTGGCAGCTTACGTTTTATGTGGTTTCTTATGTTTTCGCCCCCAACAGCAAAAGCAAGCGCAGCGGAGTATCCAGCAATCCGGCAATGCGGCTCATCCGCAGTCGCTTCGATGCCGCCTCCCAGTTGATCCGGCGCACCAACAACATACTCTCCTCCAGCAGCAATCAGGGCTCCTCCAGCATTGGCGTCAAGTCGGGCACCTTCCAGTGGCGCAAGGAGAGTCAAATGTAAACGGACGACTCACTCTACACACACACACAACACAGCCACTTGCATACTCAACCTTAAACCATAATTTATTTGAGTTACATTTGTACTTTTGAGAAAGTATTTGTTTTTTGTGATAGTTTCAATTTTAGTAAACTTTTTAACATGTATTCTGATTTAACTAAATATATTAGGCATACTACCCTTAGAACTTAAGGCATGCGCCAAGTATTAAGCTAGACACCCATCTATAGAAACCATTATTCGATTTTTGGCATGACCTATTCTTCATCGACGTAGCGAGAAAACCAATTAAAAAATTAAGTAGATCACGACTACACGAATGTATACTTAGGAGAGCTCAGAATCCAGGCACTGTTCTCAGACTTAATTTTAAAGTATTTATTAAATCAGCTTAATTTCTATAATTTAAGCTGAAACAGAGCTTCCCGAAAGCAGCAGCAAAAGGGACAATTCAGGTCTGTCGGCCATACTACTCCAATAAGCATTTATTGGCAGTGTAATTTATTGATTAATTAATTACCACAACGCAGGTGTCAATTTCTCCCAAATGCAGTCCCCCAAAAGTACCAAAAACCCATTATCCTGGCACGTAAAGATCCAAGAGATATGATATATTTATTATATTGCTCGCACCCAAAACTCAAAGCGGTCCGTTCCTGTACCTAAACACTTGTCACTAATTTTATGTAACCCCTAAGCCGGACAAACCAATCAAATATTCAAATATTTTCTGATACTCTGTATTATTCCCCCACTGCAAAGCAGCAACCATACACAGCAAACAACGCACTGGGCTAAATCCAAAAAAGAAAACGAAGTAAAGTTAAACAGCGAAATGTTAATGAACAGAACAGAACCTAATTAATTGTTAACAAACCTAACAGATACCGCAGAATACAATTGTTTAGATATACATAAATATATATATATATATTTCAAAGGCATATTTACAAGTTAATGATCGGAGTTATTCAAAGTATCATTATTATAATCGAAGCAGATAACCGAACAGACTTAATTACAATCCACAAACATACATCACACATTACAAAAAACACTCGCAAAGGGGTCGAAAAACCAAAGATAAACATTTACATTTGGAAGTAATATACACACGATACCTACACTTACCTAAAACATAACTAAAAATATATGAGAATATGTACTTATACATCGTAGTGTTGTAGTTTTGAAAAAGGTTGCGATGAATTATTGACAAAAAATTGATACAGGAACATTTACAGACAATTCTGAGTGTGTTGAAGTTACAAGAGAACTTTTTGAGCGGAACGACGACGAATAACGACGAAGCGTATACATAAATATATAACTCTGAATCTGAATAAACTGTATATTCATACAAATAATTTAAAGTCTTTTTTAATTTAATCTGAGGAATGTCCGCAGTTGCAGTTATTTGTTGGTGTCCACCAGAATCTTTGGGTTGGCCACATGGAAAACGCTGGGCACCATGCCAGCCAAAGTGGTGAACAGGCTCTCCGATATGTCGTCAGGCAGTAGCAATTGCAAGGTGCTGAATATAATTGGAAAATGATCACAAATATTAGAATTAAATAAGAAAAGGAAGCTAACTAAGCCACCCTTGCAGTTTCCAGTTGGATCATTAACAATCGGGAGATATATAAAACATAAAGTTTCATTTAGATTGCTTCAAAACTGAGGGACTACATGGCTAGATCGACTGATCAAGCATATATTTTTTTACTTTGCAAACTTTTGACTAAAATTATTAGACCCTATAAAAAATATACTCACCTTAATTCTGCTCCTCCCCAAGATGCCGATTCAATCATGAATCCCTTGGCGCATTTGAAAACCAGCTCCGCCCGTCTGATGCACCACTGGACCGTCATATCCTCGCTCATCTCGTGCCGCAGCAGGGCCGGAATAGTCAGCGTGGTAATGTCATGCCGGCTAGCCGTCTTAAGGATATTCCTTAGCCCCAAGATTACGGGATGTCGCGAGTTTATCTCACTGGGACTGTTGATGGGTTCGTCCGAGATCAGATGGAATATGCAATGGGACTGCGAGAGATTCGAGTGCTTGGTGATGAAGAAGTCGCCCGTCTTCAGTTTGGGCACCTGCTTCTTGGTTGGAGAGGACGTGGCACTGTCTTCCGTGCTGCTGCTATTACTGCTGGTGGTGGAATCGCCAGTGCTTAGACTGCGTATCTGCTTCTCGATGTTCTCCAGTTGCACATCAATTTGCTCGAAGTGAAACTCGGTGGATTTGTTGGCGTTCTTTATGATATTCTTGTTGGCCTGCGCCTGTATGGATGGGGTCAGCACCACCACGCCGCACAGGGAGCTGGAATACAGGCCCAGGGCCATATTCAAGCCATTAAGACTCTCCTCGGCGTGCAGCGGACTGCACAGCTCCGTCACATTGGCGCTGAGGATGCGGATGTTGTGCATGTGCTTCAGCTGAGAGCCCAGATGAATGGTGAAGCTCTCTTCCATTGAAGGTTGCTGCGAGACGAACATCGAGGAGCGGTTGCCCAGCGGCGTGGCCACCGGGGGCACCTGAAACATTTGGCTCACTTGACTCGTGATCCAGTCCCGATACTCGTTCTTCTGATGCCCCATCATAGCCTCCAGCTCGGATTCGTAGCGCTTGCGCACAAAGTTCTGTGTGGTGTACTGCTGGGCCAGGAGATTGTTGATATCGTCCGAGGTCGTGGTGATATCCAGCTGGTTTATCTGGCTGTCCATTTCCTGCTGCTGCGAGTTGTTAAGCGTCTCCACCTCGTTGTCCATGTGCTCGGTCATGTCGGCCACAACCTTGGCATAGGTCCGCTCCCGCTTAAGGATTTCCTCCAGCGAGGAGGAGTGCACCAACCGGTGAAAGCTCTGGGCGAATATATCGGCGTCGCTGGGGCCCACGCGATCGGCAAACTGCAGCAGCTCATCCTTGTACAGACGCTCTGTGTTCCGCACTATAGCTTCCAAGTCCAATTCTTCGTTGGCAGCCTGATTGAGGAGCTTCTCCGCGTGGTCATCCAAAAACCTTTGGTGTTCCATGTCCACGAACTCCTGCAGCTGCTTCTCCAGGCCTGTTGATTCGTACAGGCGTACATTATATTCGATCCAATTAGCACTGCTTGGGACTTACTGATGTTCTCGTCCAGATAACGCATCATGGGATCCATCTGGCTCATCAACTGGGTCACACACTCCTCCAGAGATTCTTGGTCGAATGGAAAGGTGATATTTAGCTGCGATGTGCAGTCCCTGCCCTCATGGTTCTTGTAGTGATACTCGAAGGAAAGCGAACGAGTGGCAGTTGTATCCATTGTGGGGCGTTTAGTTGGGGCTTAAAATTAAGTTCCTAAAGTACGCCCCCCGCCCACAATGCAAGCAGTGTGACCGGCTGGGCGACCGCTTAAAAAAACTAAATGCAAAATAAATGAAAATCCCATTCCAAGTTCCGTCGATTTTGACGATTTCGTTGCTTCTTGCTTAAAAAAAAAAAATCCCATTTGTAAATCCCTACAGTTTGAAATGTCGGGCTTTTTCGAAACATGTAATATTTAAATAATATGAAAAAAACACAGCAAAGAAATGAAAAAATTTTGAGATTAAAAAACCAAATTTGCATCTGGCAACACTGCTTCTACCTTCAGCACTTACATATACACATAAACTGGTCACACTATTGCGTTCTCTTCAGACATCGTGAAAAAATCGGCGCGCCATTTCTGTCCACCTTTTGCGTCCGACTCGCTTTGTTTATGCTGACTTGGTGAATTTCGCGTGTTTGATTGTTTTAGACAGAGCCCGGGCGACCGCCAGCCGCCCCCACTCCAGGAACTGCGCCATTGCTGATCGTTGGCCAACGTTGTGAAATCAAGGAATTGCTCATCGCGTTAGCTCGCGTCTGAAGGACAAAGGAAGGGGGCTTCCAAAGTACATGTGTGTTTTCTGAGCGACGAGACGAGTGTGTGAGCAACATGTTTGGCGGCTCGAAACCAACCTTTGGGGCCACACCCGGAGCCACAAGCTTTGGCAGCTTCAGCGGCACCACAGCGGCCACTCCGTTCGGCCAGTCAGCGTTCGGCAAGCCGGCTGCTCCGGCCTTTGGCAACACCTCCACCTTTGCCGCCCAGCCGACACAGCCGTCTCTTTTCGGTGCCGCAGCCACGCCTGCGCAGCCCACGGGCGGATTGTTTGGAGCCAGCACTTCCAGTGCCTTCGGGACCACCGCCGCAGCCCAGCCTTCGACATTTGGAGGTTAGAAACGAACACGTTGAATTGAATTTTTCTGTGCAATTTGTAATATTGGTTTTTTTTCAGCGTTTTCGCAACCACAGCAGACCTCGAACATCTTTGGATCCACCCAAGCGGCGCCCAGCAACTCACTCTTCGGCCAGTCGTCGCTGCCGGCCTTTGGAGCCGCCAAACCGGGAATGACGGCCTTTGGCCAAACGGCTGCCGCCCAGCCCACTAGCTCGCTGTTTGGCCAGCAGGCTGCGTCCACCAGCACCTCGGGATTCGGCACCTTCGGACAGGCGGCGCCTACTAACACCAGTGTCTTTGGCAGCGGCACCGCCTCGGCATTTGCCCAACCCCAGGCCACCGCTGTGGCCACCGGGGTTAACTCAGGCACCGCCGTGGCCAAGTATCAACCTACAATCGGCACGGATACCCTTATGAAGAGCGGCCAGCCAAATAGTGTCAACACGAAGCTGCACTGCATCACAGCCATGAAGGAGTACGAGCTAAAGTCGTTGGAGGAACTGCGCATGGAGGATTACCTCTGCTCGCGCAAGGGTCCGCAGGCAGGCAGTGCGCCAGGCGCGTTCGGATTCTCCAGTCAGGTGGCCCAGCCGCAGCCGCAACCTGCTGCCACCGGTTTGTTTGGAAGCACACAGCAGCAGGGGACGAGTCTTTTTGGTCAGACGGTGACGGAAAACAAGAGCCTGTTTGGCAACACGGCCTTTGGGCAGCAGCCAGCGACTAGCAGTGCCTTTGGAGCACCGGCCCAGCAGAACAACTTCCTGCAGAAACCATTTGGAGCAGCCACTACCACACCTTTTGCCGCTGCGCCCACTGACGCATCCAATCCGTTTGGTGCCAAGCCCGCCTTCGGACAGGGGGCTAGCTTGTTTGGACAGACACCGGCAACTAGCGCTGCACCGGCCTTCGGTCAGACCAGCACCGGATTCGGAGGCTTTGGAACCACAGCTGGAGCTACGCAGCAGACATCGCTGTTCGGTGCTACGCCCGCTGCCGATCCTAACAAGTCGGCCTTTGGACTGGGCACAGCTGCCCCAACGGCCACTTCAGGATTTGGTTTTGGAACTCCGGCCACGAGCACCGCTGGCGGAGGACTCTTCGGGGCCAAGCCGGCCACAAGCTTCGCTGCGCCTGCCTTTGGAGCCACCTCAACAGCAAATACCGGCTTTGGAGGCTTCGGTATCAACACCAGCACTGCAGCCACGGGCGGAGGACTCTTCAACTCTGGATTGAACAAGCCAGCCACCTCCGGATTTGGTGGTTTCGGAGCCACCAGTGCAGCACCACTAAACTTCAACGCTGGAAACACGGGTGGTTCGCTTTTCGGGCAAGCGGCTAAACCGGGAGGTGGCCTCTTCGGTGGTGGAACTTCGACCCTGGGAGGCACGGGAGCTGCTCCAGTCGGCGGTCTCTTTGGAGGTGGTACTGGAGCTTTCGGAAATGCCGGCGGTTCCTTGGGCGGTGGCTTTGGCGGCCTGGGAACAAGCAATTCGATGACCGGTGGACTGATGGGTGCCCAGCCCACTGTGGGTATAACGACGCCATCCCACCAGCCCATACACCAACAGATCCTGGCTCGGGTCACTTCCCCCTATGGAGACTCGCCTATTTTCAAGGACTTGAAGCATGGAAACGAGGCGGATGCTACTAGGGCCACAAATCCGGCTGCTCAGCAGGCTGTACTGGATCTAAACAGCAACCAGTACAAGATTGCCACCAAGGATGTCCCAAATCCAGTGAAGGTGAAGGCTCTGGGAAGCACCATGAATCGAAAGAGTCTGTTCAATGGGCTCGAGGAGTTGGATACGAGTGTGGAATGCTTTAATCTCAAGCCCACCGCCAAGCGTCTGGTTATCAAGCCCAGGGTGAATCCCGTCGATACCGGTAATGTCTCCAACTTAAATGGCAGTGCTCCCAGTACTCCCCAGTCCCGTCCGAGAGTGGGAACTCCTAACAAGGAACGCGATTCATTCAGTGGAGCTATTCCCAGTGAGCCACCGCCAGCAGGACACTCGCCAGGTGGGGCGACTGGCCGAGAGAGCCAGGATAGCAGTCGCCGCGAGTCATGGCTGCATCCGAACAACCTGGAGAAGGTACGCCAGCACAATATCCAGACCGGAATGGATCAAGCCTCCCCTCACAATAGCACTCTCAACGAGTTGGTGCCCCGCAAACCCCTGGAGACATATCGGCCAACTTCAACAGTGCGCTTGTCGGTATCCACGATTCCTGAGAACCCTTTCGAGGATCAGGCTAGCGCTATTGCCAGGCGAGATACATTCACTTCGGATCAGGCTAACGAGAGCGGGCTTTTGAGCAGATCCCATGAGGCGGAGGAGCACTCGGCAAACCGTTCACGTCTGGCCATAGAGGCGGCTGCTAGCGAGGACGCCGACTACGAGACACATCCCACAGGCATTGTGTTGCGTCGTGTGGGGTACTACACCATCCCAACGCTGGACGATCTGCGCTCCTATTTGGCCGAAGATGGATCCTGTGTGGTTCCGAACTTTACAGTTGGACGCGAGGGCTACGGAAATGTGTTCTTTGGCAAGGAACTGGATGTGGCTGGCCTGAATATAGATGAGATAGGTAATGTGCTCTTTTAAGTTAAATATTTCTCAATCACTGATCAATCGCTCCCCCTGCAGTCCACTTCCGCAACAGGGAAATTATTATTTATCCCGATGACGATAACAAGCCTCCCATTGGTCAGGGCCTGAACCGGGACGCACAGGTAACCCTGGATCAGGTGTGGCCACTGGACAAGACGAAGCATGAGGCCATCAAGGAGCCACAGCGCCTGCTCGAGATGGACTGGGAGGGCAAGCTGCGCCGGGTTTGTGACAAGAATGACACCCGCTTCATCGAATACCGCCCGGAGACGGGCAGCTGGGTATTCCGCGTTAAACACTTTTCGAAATACGGTCTTGACGACAGCGATGAGGAAGAACAAGTGCCCACCGATCCAAAAAAGGCTAAAATGGTTTCCCTGGAGGCGCAACAACGAGCTGCTGCTGATAAGATGACACTGAACTCACTTCGTCAGGCCCAAAAGATATCGGAGGATGCGGCCCGCAGTCTTGATGCAAAGGCCTTGGTCGCTGGAGTGATCAACGGATCCAGAGCAATGGATGACACAGCTGAGTTTTTGCTGTTTGATAAGACACGTAAGTATATACTCCAGCAAGATATTAACTATTAATAATAATAATTATTTTCTTGCTTTAGAGTTTTTCCAGGCCGGCATGGGATCAAATTTCTCCATGTTTGATGCCCCGCCGCGTCCCCAGCCGACCTATTTCAGCCCCACAGCCGCTGTGGCCCAGGATATAGTGGGTAACGAGCCGCACAAAATGCAACTGATGAAGTCCTCCCTGTTTGTGGACGACAATGCCAGCGAGGATGAGGCTATGGGTAAGTGAACTAATCAACATTAATCCATGTATTTTCATTTCATTATATAAACCATTCTTGTTAAATCCTGCCATTTTAGAGCCAACCAAAGGATATCGCAACTTCTTCAACGTAGAGCCCTCTCCATGGAAAGATGCCGGCTCCGAGAACTCCAGCCAATATGACTTTGGGCACCCATCTGCTCTGCCCGTCTCCTCCTCGGTCTCTGTGGCCAGCCTCCTGTGCGACGCACATTCCGAGGAAGTATGCTTAGAGACATCTCAATCCAAAGGCAAATTACTTACTCTCATAATTTTACAGACCTCATCAATGGCGACCGGAAGCATACCAGCTGGCGAAAAGGAGAAGCACAGGGAGTCTGTGGTGTTAAAGCCCTTCAAATTTGTGTGCAAGCCCAGAGTGGCCTCGGTCAAGGTGTTTGCCACCACGGTACCTTTGCCACGATCCATTGCCTATGATCTGCGTGAAACCTGGATTGCTGATCTGGGATTATACAGGGGACGCAGTTTCAAGCTGAGCTTTGGGCCGAAGAACTCCCTGGTGTTGCCGAACACCTTCAACAATCTGCGCAATCTCAAGGAATGTATGTAATCCCGGAAACTGATACTTTAATAGTGTTAGTTTAATACATATTTCAATTTATCTGCAGTTTCTGGACCCGCTTTGCCCGCTTCTTTGGTTTTTGCTCCTCGTTTGTCCAGCGATATGTCACCCAATGTATTGCAAATGGTGCAGTTTAACATGGTCAAGGGCAATGGTAGCATTCGCGAGGGCATTGTCTCCCACCTGGAGGTGCAACTGCGCGACAGCCTGGCTGTGGAGGTGGAGGGAAGTGAGTGCCCCTGGCTGCATCCAAACAATGGCACAGATCTGGTGTCTAAGCACTTTGCCGAGTCGTTAAAGCAGCGAGACGGCGGCGAAATGGAGGAGTACTATGTGTCCGTGTGGTCGCTCCTGTTCGCCCTGTGGGGTGTGCATGACGAACTACTGGACATGGACGTCAACTCGCACTATATGGTCATGTGCCGGCGCAGCCTGCTCTCCGAGTGGCTCGAGAATACGCTGATGGGAAAGGATCTGCTCTCGAAGAAGGTGAGCACCCACACCTACCTGGAGCACATGCTGGATTTGCTCAGTTGCCATCGCGTAAGCGAGGCTTGCGAGCTGGCCTTCAACTACGATGACGCGAATTTGGCTCTTGTATTGGCTCAACTCAGTTCGGGTGCCGAGTTTCGATTGCTGATGGAAGAGCAGCTCTACGCCTGGCAGCAGAGCAAGTCGGACAAGTACATCGACCTGGAGCGCTTAAAGATGTTCATGCTGGCCGCCGGAGTGCCCCTAATGCAGAGTTCCCAGGGGGCTATTAACCTGCTGGAAGATCAAAACTGGCTGACGGTATTGGCCATGCAGCTGTGGTACTTTACAGCGCCAACTTCCACTATAACCGATGCTCTGAACGCCTACAACAAGGCCTACCAGGCAGAGGAGTGCTATGCGGAGGCCCCGAAGCCAAGCTACAAAGATGAATCTGCATCTGCTACTGGGACGAAACCCGTCTACGACCTGCGCTACCACTTGCTCCAGTTGTATTCCAAGCGAACGCACTCCCTGGAAGAAACCCTAAATCCGATTACACATACCACCGATCCCATGGACTTTCGTCTAAGGTAAGCTGAGAAATATATCTTAAAAAGTGCGAGGCATATCCAAAATCATCAACAGCAGAGTCGATCTAACCATGTCCGTCTGTCCGATTCTACGCAAACTAGTCCCTCAGTTTTGAAGCAATCTAAATGAAACTTTGCAGACAGTATTCTGACAATTCTCACTACTATGTATGTATGTCGGATCGGCCGACTATATCATATAGCTGTCATAGGAACAGAAAAATTAGTTTATTCTATTAATTCCTCTAAAAACTCCTTTATTTTTAGTTGGCTTGTTCTTCAAAACCTGCGAGCTCTCGGCTACCGTCACTGCTCGGAATTAACAGAGTCTCGCCTCACGGTGGACTTTGCTAGCCAGCTGGAGAACGAAGGCCTTTGGCACTGGGGCATTTTCGTGTTGCTGCACCTCAAGCGTCGGCCACAGCGGGAACGGGCTGTGCAGCAGATGCTGCAGCGCAACGTAATAGTATCTGGCAAGATACCTTTAAATGCAGAGGAGTGTTTTGTTGTGGAGGAGTTGAATGTTCCTATGTGCTGGGTGGACTATGCCAAGGCGGTGAAAGCCGGGGCATCGGGAAAACGACACCTGCAAGCGAAGTACCTGCTGAAGGCCAGACACTGGGTGGAGGCACACGAGATCATCTTTCAGCACATAGCCCCTGATGCGATTATTAACGGTGAGTTTGGTTTATTGTGCGGCAATTAAAGTTATTTTTTAACTTATTCCTATTTACCACCTTCCAGGACGAATGGATTACCTGCACAGCCTCCTCATCCAGTTCGAGAACACCGAGGGCAGCAGCATCCGTGTGCCCAACTGGGCCAACCAGGGTCAGATCTTTCTGGACTTTATTGACATCAGTGCCAAGTTCAACCAGATTCAGCATACGAAAAACATAGCAGACATTAACGCGCGCTGGGAGAACCTAAAGCCGCAGCTTAGTGAGCTCTGCTCGAGGATTGCCCTACTCCCATGTCCCACTTCAAAGCACCGACTCTGCCAGAGCGAAATCTCGCAAAGCATCAGTTATTTGGTTCACGGCATGTGCATCGTCTGCCCCAATACGGAATTGTCCTCTGTGTTAAAGGTGGCGCTGGAGCGGCTGCCGCTGCCGCAGGAGTTCTCCTCAAAGGAGCTGCGCGTCCTTTTAGAGGAATTGCTGGATAACATGGAGAACGCGGTGCCCTTCAAAATGCAGCAACCGATGGAGACATAAGAAAAGAAAAAAAAAGAACGCTTGATTAAAGAATACTTGTTTAGTTTAGGTTCGAATTAGCTTAGATATAAAGAATTGATTAGCGTCTCCCTCGCACGCGAAAGAAAGTCACTTGTAGGATAGGTCCGAGTATTGCATCATTCGTCATGATTGCTCTATAGTTAATACATAAATGTTTCGTCAGAAAAGACAATGCCAGAGGAAATATTATTTTTGTTGATTTGTTTACTTGATTTCTAACTGCTTTGCTATGTAAACCTAGTTTTTTTGGTAAAAATTCAAAATTAAATAAACTACGATCTGTTTAATAACTATAACTGATTCTTTGAAATTCGATAGAGGCCGTGCTATCGATAGCTCTAGCAGAGCTAACCCGCTCGGCCCAGCTGTAGAGCTAGAGATCAGTTCGTTTTCGGTCGTTGACTACGTAAGAGCGCTGAGAAGAGGTAGTCACAGACTGTTCCCCACAGACATGGCTACTAATGCTTCCACTGAAACCCCGGTGGCGCCCGCTTCCTGGTGTGGGCGTGGCGACAAGCCCCGCACTTTTGAGAAGCATTCGCCCGTCGTCTGCTATGATAAACCAGAAGCATCCATAGTGTCAAGGGAGGAATACGATGTAAGTTCAGAGCCCTCTATTATTATCTGTCATGCTGACGATAACTTATCTTTGGAGCATTACAAGCCACCCAAAGGGATTAGATGAAAAAGCAAGCACTATTTTGGCGATGAACTATCCAGAGATTACTTCAACATATTTTCTAGTTTATTATTTATTGTTGATGATTTCAGGACAAGCGTTTCAAGGCTCTTACCGGCGATTTGGTGGAGACATTGGTGGTGCCCAAGCGGGAGGCACGCACTTGGACAATGCAGGCGGGCGATCTGTGCCGAGTCACCATCCACGAGGGCTCGCAGGTGGGCGACATGAACTTCTGGAACCTGGAGAATACTGCCGAACGGTTTTACTCCGGCAAGACACGCCAGCTGCACTCGTCGCACCTGCGTGTCTACGATCGCCTGTGGAGCTGCTTGCCCTATTTGCGTCCCATGGCCACCTTCGTGTTCGACTCCCTGGCCGGCTATGGGATCGATGAGGACGGTGGTGCTCTGCACGATGTGATTGGAACGCGCTGTGACGACTACACCTACAAGCTAATCACGGGCAAGGATCGGGTGGGCAGTTGCCACAGCTCTTTGGTCAAGGCGGTGGTGGAGGAGCGCGGCCTGACGGAGCAGGATGTGCACGACGTGTGGAACATCTTCATGTGCACCGGCTTCACCCGTGACACTCATCAGTACTTCTGCAAGCCGAGTCCCGCCCGCAAGGGAGACTTTATTGAGTTCGTTGCGGACATGAATCTGCTGGTGGCCCTGAGCGCCTGTCCCCAGGGAGATGTCTCCATTCAGGTGGGCGCCGTAGTGCCCGACGACAAGTGTCACCCCCTCAAGGTCGAGGTGTTCCGCAAAAAGTAATCCGATCGGTTCTCATTTGTATTCCGAGTGGAGAAAATCCGGTTACACTAACACATCAAGGTGATTGGTGATTACCTGTCGTGACTGGGTCACTGTTTATGTGTCATAAAGCTTGTGAAGAAAATATATTATTATCTCAAGAAATTTTTAATAATTTCTGGCTTTTTAATTATTTACTTTTACCGGTAAACAAAATTGTTAATTTTATTGGGTATGAAATTGACCAAGTGATTTAATATCACCTCGTCAAAAACGGAATTCTGAACGCGCCCACATTTCGATTTTAGAGTGACCATCTTTCTCCTCTTTACTCTCTCATTCTTTGTTTTCATCCAGCTTCGCACTTTTTTTGCCGACACTCATTTGCTAAACAAAACGCTCCAATTTCGCAGCAAACTCCCACAATGAGCGAGATTAGGGGCGAGGACAACCTGGAGAGGCTGCGCAACTACATCCTGCGCCCGAACCTCTCCATCCACGATCCCCTGCCGGACGTACTGCCACGCAAATTTGATCCGATGCGCCTGTTGCATGTGCCCCGCGGCCCTGGGACCACTAAGTTAGTTCCCCGCCGCGACCAGAGCGGTCAGATTCTGGAATTCCTGGAGGTGGACTTGGAGGACGTGGGGGCCAATGCAAACAATTCGATGTCCATGCAGCGCGAGCCTGGCCTGCTGGATGAGGCGACGCGTGGCTCGCACTCAAACTATCCCTTCTGGCCGGGCGGTTTCGATGAGCAGCGCCAGCAGATCGCGGCCCTGGATGTGGATAACTTTAAGTTTGGGGACAAGCTGCTCACCGTGCCACCGGGCTTTGCATCGGGTCACAGCTTCTCCCAGTCGCAGCCTGTGGCTCCGGCGCCTGTGCTCCCCGACGCCAGCAACGTGGATTTGCTGGAGAATCTGGAGCAGGACCTGGACGTACAGGAGTGGATGCAGCTGACGCGGACTCCGGAAGCGGGCTCTTCTGGAGTCTCTCAAAGCGCTAGAGAGGGGAACCTGCCCTTTCCCTCAGAGGAGTTCCAGGACGTCGACGACCAGATCATGAAGGCAGACCTCAAGCCAGTGCTGAATATTTCCGCTGCCACGAAGACCTTCAAGAGCGACTGGGCCGAGATGGTGGATATCAGTCATCCGATCAGCGATTTTAAGGAGCAGATACCCTGCCCGGCCATGGAGTTTCCCTTCGAGCTGGACGTTTTCCAGAAGCAGGCCATTCTCAAGCTTGAGCAGCGACAATATGTGTTCGTGGCGGCCCACACCTCGGCCGGCAAGACGGTGGTGGCCGAGTACGCCATCGCTTTGTCCAAGCGTGATCTCACCCGCACCATATACACGTCCCCCATCAAAGCTCTGTCCAATCAGAAATATCGCGACTTTCGCAAGACTTTCAAGGACGTCGGACTGATAACGGGCGATCTACAGATCGAGCCGACCGCCTCCTGCCTGATTATGACCACCGAGATTCTGCGCTCGATGCTGTACTGCGGCAGCGAAGTCACCAGGGACCTGGAGTACGTCATCTTCGACGAAGTGCACTACATCAATAATCCGGAAAGGGGTCATGTGTGGGAGGAGGTCATCATTCTGCTGCCGGATCACGTGAACATCATTATGCTCAGTGCCACAGTGCCAAATACCATGGAGCTGGCCGACTGGGTGGGCAGCACCAAGAAGCGCAAGGTGTATGTTATTAGTACTCTCAAGAGGCCCGTGCCGCTGACGCACTTCCTCTACACGGGTGCCGGCGGCAAGAGCCGGGACGATATATTCCTGCTAGTGGATGCCCAGGGTAGGTACCTGCAGGGTAACTACGAGAAGGCCGTGGAGCGTAAAAAGGAGATGCAGGGCAAGGCGAAGGGCGGCGGTGGTGCTCCTAAGAACTACGTCAACGCCAAGCAGGAGCAGTATACCTGGATAGGACTGATAGACTTTCTGCGGCGCAACAACAAGATGCCAGTGGTGGCCTTCACCCTGTCCCGAAATCGGTGTGACGCCAACGTTGCAGCCCTGCAGTCGGTGGATCTCAACACGGAGAAGGAGAAGGGTTCAGTGCAGAAGTTCTTCTTGCAGTGCCTTGCCAAGCTGAAGCCGCCGGATCGCACCATTCCGCAGGTGCTTGTGCTTAAGGATGCCTTAGAGCGGGGCATCGGAGTCCACCATAGCGGCATCCTGCCAATACTCAAGGAGATTGTGGAAATGCTCTTCCAGAATGGACTGGTGAAGCTGCTCTTCGCCACCGAGACATTTGCCATGGGCGTCAACATGCCCGCTCGCACGGTTGTCTTCGATTCGCATAAGAAGTTCGACGGCCTCGAGGTGCGCAACCTGAAGCCTGGGGAATACATCCAGATGGCAGGCAGGGCAGGACGACGGGGACACGATGAGACGGGAACGGTTATACTGTTGTGCAAGGCCAATGTGCCGCCATCGATGGAGTTGCGACCAATGATTCTGGGCCTGCCCGAGAAGCTGCAGTCACAATTCATCCTGCGCTATGCGGTGATCCTCACCTGTCTGCGCATCGAAAGCATCAAGGTGGAGGACATCATGAAGTTCAGCTTCAAGGAGTTTAACCAAAAGTTGCAGCTTCCGACGCAGCAGAAGCAGCTGCGCCTGGCCGAGGACAAGTTTGCCATGCTGCCTACCCTGGGTGAGCATCTGCAGCCGCTTGTAGAGTTTTATGACAAGGCCGTGGAGTACTGGAAGGAGAAGCATCGTACCATGGTGAGTCTAAGAATCTTCGTTGAACCTATCGTTAGTTTTAGAATATATTTTTTGCCCGCGGTTGTTCCAATTTTAAATTCTTCAATATTCTTTTCAGAAATTCGTTGTCACACAAGCCAAGATCCAGAAAGAACTGAAGGTGGGCCGCGTCATCGTAGTCACGCAGGGCAAGCACTACAACAAGCTGGCCATCTTGCTCAACACCAAGTCCGTTCCAGGCAAGGACACTGTCTACAAAGTATTAGTCCTGGACCACCAGTTCAAGGCCAAGGATACCGAAGGCCTGCAGCGGGGCGAGCTCTACTACAAAATTATCTCCCTCACATCGAATCATAAGATGTTCCAACCGGAGGGCATTGGCGGGCACACCGTGCTGGACATCAAGGCAATTGACATCATTAGCATCACCAAGAATACATTCAAAGTGGATGCTGATGTGATCATCCGGAACTGGGAGCAGCGGCAGCTGGAGCGTTTCAAGGATACACCGCCAGGTGGAACCGTGGTGAAAACAGTGACCGAGCTTCACCAGCTGAACGAGAGCTACATTGCCAATCCGGAATGCGTCAAGTTTGTGAACCTGTCCAAGGAGGTCAATGTGAACGCAGACACGGAGTTGGCCCAGCTCAACTATGTGGATCACCTGTTCCGGCAAGTGGGCGACCTGCTGCCGCACACCAACATAGCCGGGTTCGAGCAGGAGTTCGCCAAGGTCTACGAGCGACGCATGCTGGAGATTCACATCGAGGAGCTGCGCTACAAGAATTCCGCAAAGAACCTATCTCTCTATCCCGATTACTGCAACAAGATGGACGTGCTTCGAGCTCTCAAATACATCGATGAGCTCAATGAGGTCACACTCAAGGGCAAGGTGGCCTGCGAGATGGGCCAAAACGAGCTGCTGATCACGGAGCTCATTTTGTGTAACATGTTCAATGATCTTGAGCCCGCCGAGATTGCCGCGCTGCTGTCTGGCCTGGTCTTCCAGGCAAAGATCCAGGGAGAGCCAGTTATTCCGGAGGCCCTTAAAAAGTGTGTGGCAGCTTTTGAACAGATCAACGACACTATACTGGCCGAGGAGCAGCGCTACCATGCGGTTGTCGAGGCCGAGAATCGCCTTAACTTCGGCCTGATCGAGGTGGTCTATGAGTGGGCGAGGAACAAGGTAGGAATATATAATCTTCGCTATAAAAAAAAAACCAAAGTAATATTGTCTCCATTTCCCAGCCCTTTGCTGAGATTATGAAACTGACCGAGGTGCAGGAGGGCATTATCGTGCGCTGCATCCAGCAGCTGGACGAAACTCTGCGTGATGTGAAAACGGCTGCCATACGAATCGGTAATCCTGGACTGCAGTCCAAAATGGAGGAGGCGTCGGCGGCCATCAAACGCGACATTGTGTTCACCGCTTCCCTGTACACGGAAATCTAAATAGAGGAAGGTAACCCGTCAATGAGAGAATAAACCAGGACGAAATGTGATTTCTTAGTCTATACATTATGCACGTGTGTCAATTACAATTCCAAAGGAGACTTATATAAAAATGTAAAAATATTCATGATCAACGCGACGCAATGGGAGGCGGAGGTCGTGACGGCGCCGCGTTGGGAAGCAACTTCATCGCGATTCCGGCTTGAATTTTGGTGGCACCATCATGCCGGTCATGTGCTTTTGTTTCTTGGTCTTCTTAGACTTGCCCGCGCCGGACTGGAAGTCGTGCCAGCTGTTTACGCGGCTTTGGCGCGACTCCTCGAAATTTTGTTGCCACTCGCGGTCCGCCTTGACGCGCTCCTCCTCCTCAATCTCGGTCTCGCGCTTTCGCTTGCGCTCCTCCTGGTCGCGCTGGTCGAGCTTTTGCCGTCGCCGCTCCATGTCGGCGAATAGCTTCATGACCATCACGTATATGGCATGCTTGTACTTGGTGGGGTCGTCTTCAGGAATGGGCTCGGTGGGCCGGCCCTCCTTTTTGAGCTTTTTGCGTTTCTCTGCGATCTGTGAATCATAAAGAAATTTCAATTAAATACATTTTATATTTTTTAACGCCTAAGATCAATGAAAATATGAATGCTTTGAATAAGTTAAAACCTTTTCCAGGACTCACCATATGATCGGTCCGCCCCTTGGCCTCCTCGTAGACTTCCAGACACTTTTTACGCGTGAGCTCGTTTTCCAGGATTTTCCAGGAACGCGCAACTATGTCGAATGCCAGCTGAGCGCGCTCCTGGTTGTCGGGATTCTTATCTGGATGGACCAAAATGGATAAGGTGCGATATTTCTTTTTTATATCCGCCACTTCGACCTCGGGCTCGATTTGGAGCACCTCAAACGGATTGAGATTGAAGTACGTTGAACCTGGACGAAGTAAACGATCAATTTGTTGAGAAGGAGTTAAAACTGAATCACGTTTTTCAATTTCTTTCACCTGCAATATAGGCACAAAATCGTTTACTCAAAAGTGTACATTAAGGTAAATGGTTTAGTTTAGTTTGAGCGGCTCCAGTGGGAGGCCACCGCAGCCAGGCTCAGACTGTAGGCTGCAGCGGGCCGCCCGTCACACTTACTTCGGTGTAGAAGTCCTCGAATGTCTCCCGGGACGTGCCCGGCTGGTCACTGGACGACATGTTTCGGCGATTTATGGGTTTTTGCCTTTCCCACAAACAATTTCTTTTTTTTTTTTTAATAAAATGCAAGGTCTGTACTAGAGATGGGGATACACCGATAGAAAATGCAGCCACCAGTGTTGTCAAACATCGGTTGATGACTATCGATATCGATGTCTTTCTGTTTTGAACACATGTTTCCAGTTATATTTCATAAAAAACTTTCTTGCGCGCAAAAAATTAATGTTTCCACGGCTGCAAAGACTGGCATGTTTGCTGGGATTGTTTGAGAGACATAGTTGGCGGTGCGTTGCGTCCAGTCAAATTGCCAAAATGAGCAGTAGTCGGAGTGTTTGTGGGACAGACACAGACCTCGTGTGGATGGACCTCGAGATGACCGGCCTGGACATAGAAAAGGATAAGATACTGGAAGTGTCCTGCATTATTACCGATCAGGACCTGAACGTTAAGTCTGAGGGCCCCTGCTTTGCCATCAATCATCCGCAGGAGGTATACGAATCTATGACTGAGTGGTGCATAAAACACCACAACGAATCCGGCTTGGTTAGCCGCTGCAAAAGCTCTTCGGTGAAGCCGGACCAGGCAGCCGAACTTCTCCTGTCCTACCTAAAGGAAAACATCCCCCAGCGGAAATGCCCTCTGGCAGGCAACTCCGTCTACATGGATCGACTTTTTCTCAGGAGATTTATGCCAACTGTGGATGAATATTTGCATTACCGGATTGTGGACGTATCCACCATCAAGGAGCTGGCTAGGAGATGGCATCCCGAGGTGGTTAGTAACGCTCCGAAAAAGACCTTTGCCCACCGCAGCCTAGAAGACATCTACGAGAGCATAAGTGAGCTGAAGTACTACAAGCAGAACTTGTTTAGGTAAATCATCCATTTGCTTAATCTTCCTAAGTTATCCTAAAAGTTTTCCTCAAAAACCTTGGATTTTACTTATTCAAATTCAATTAGTTGTTAATTATAGAGAAGCTAATTATGTAAAGCAATAATACAATAAATAACTAAAAAGTGTTAAATCTGAACTCGTTATACCAGCAGCCTCGAGGAAGTATCAATCAATCAATCATGCAATAGACCTCATTCCCTGTCTTTCTAGAAATTCATTCACAATTATAGAGGCTTTATCAAATAGTTTGTTATTATTCTATTTTATTTTTGACCTACCTACAATATTTAGCAAAACAAAAATATTTCATTTTGTTTTGCAAATATAAAAGGTCACATATGATATTTTGGGCTTATAATATTGACAATATTCTTGTAAAAAAATGCATGTATAAAAAAAATCATTCAGTGAATCGTGCGAATATGCACCGAGAAGCAGAATTCTATCATAAGAAATAAGAATACGATTGCAATAAAAAACTCGAAGCTAGTAGACGCCGTTGATGTTATTGTGGGCTGCTGAGTAATGGTTCGCCTCCTGCCGCCTCCGCGAGGATCTGTGGTTGGAGTTGGCGCTGTCGCTGCCGGTCACCTTCTCGGCTTCAATGCGTCCGGAGAGAAAGCTGGCCACGCGTTCCTGCCGAGATCAAACATTGTTTAAGTTAATTTTTCAGTTTCATTATGCATTTAAGTTATTTCTTACCAGGTAACTGTTGGTCAGGCCCTGCAGGTTGCCGTAGAACGCGAGCATCCGCTTGAAGAGAGATTCAGCTTCCTCCTTGGACAGGGTCTTGACCTTGTCTAGCCTGGTTATGGTAACTATGCGGTTGTTGATGTATATGATTTGGTGTGCCACCTCTGTGGTGGTGTGTGCCAGGTGTCTGCCAGAAATAATTATAAATGATAGCTTCGAATACACAGGGACTGCATGTCGGCTAAACCCACCTTGGTATATTGGCTGCCACATGGGCGGTGAAGTTCACCAAGTGGACCACTCGTCTGGCCGATTCGCGGGTCAGGAGAACTATCAACTGCTCCAGGGTGGCGGGTCTGGCTTGGTTCTCGGGCTCATCTGCACTCAGATAGACCCACAGCTCCTTGGCCCTTTGAACAGCTTGCTTGGGATCGGTGGCAATCTGTTGGAGTCATAAAAAGTATTAAGATTTATTTCTATACCTATTCCTAGGCATTTATGCTAACCAGTTCTGCTGCATAGATGAGCACATGGATGGCCTCCTTGCTCTGCTTCTTGAGGGCGCGGGCCTCTGCTATGGTTCTTTGTGTGAGTCGGCGCTTGAGCTTGCGGGAGAAGCGCTGTCCATGATGAATTGCCTTGATGGCACCCCGCTCGTCCGGCCCCGCCTCGTTATCATCTTCCTGTGGGCCTGCAAAGCGGATATGGGAAATCTGTGAGTGACCATCTCTGTGATTTGATTTGTGTTTTGTGTAACCGCGAGAGCGTATCGCGGATCTCAGGGCTTATCGCGACATTCTCTGGCAGCGACTTTAAATGAATTTGCAATTCCCAAGCGATAACCTCTCCTCGACAACGTCGGCATTTAAAAATAAACTATGAGATGAGTGCACCTTTGGGTGGATCAATTTCCCTCGGTTGCTAACAACATTTTTGTGAACTCTCAGGCTTAATCTTCAAGACTTTTTCCCAGCAAGCTTTTGTCTTAATTTTACTAAAACTGAGAACTGTTAAATTCAACGTATTTGTTTTTAATTTGAATATTTTTAGATAACATGGCTCCTAACCTGGATTCCTTTTAAGTGTTATCAACTGCATTTTGTTGACTTCTAAGAAACGCTTTAAAATTAACATTCGACCTGGAGTTGAGAAAGAAGTTATACATATTTCCACCCCCTCAGACCGGTGACAACCACTTACCGTCGGCTTGATCCTGATCCGTGCGAATGGGCACCAGATACTTGTCCACAAACTTATCGCCCGCCGTAAAGGCGCCATCGATGCGATCGGCAGCGTAGGTGGTGAGCGGGCTCTCCAGCACAGCGTTTCCAATCTGCTTGACGGAGTCGGCACGCTTTAGCACCGGACGCACCAGATGATCCGACATGTACTCCTTGGTGTTCCAGTACATCTTCAAGCAGAGAACAATGCCCTTTTTGTCAGCGAATGGGGATCAGTGGTCGGGCGTCAACTTACCATTTCGGGGGGCAGGTAGACCAGTGGGATGCGCTGCTCCAGGATGTCCAGACTCTTGCACATCACGTTGTCCAGGCGCCGGATCGAGGGCTCGAAGAGCTTCACCGCCGGCTGGACGGTGTCATAGGCCGCGGAGATCGTGGCTTCGGCGGTCTCGAAATACCAGGAGAATAGCCGGTTGTTATTCTTGACCTTGCCGTAAAGATTCTCCACTCGCTTCACACTGGTCTCCACTAGCGGAATGGAGCCGATGCGATCGATGGCCTCCAGATGGAGTCCACTGCCGCTGGTTGCAGTTGCTACGTGAGATGAAGCGGAGAATTAGTGGATTAACCTTGCCAGGCAGCGCGTGTCACTAACCCATTTGTTTGGATTTTGTTTGGGAATTCAGGGAGCTGCTATAGATGCGCGCGTTGTGTTGCTGTCACCGGTTGAAGTGATACTGGCAGGCTTCCGATCGAACTGCTCTCAAATAGACTTGGTGCGGCTGGCCCCGAAATCAGACTAAGTCGGCATCGGCTGCCTGCTCGCATCATGCTCGGTGATGACCTTTGCCATCCGATAAGGCGCGGATAGAGGCGCAAACACCGTGCACCTAGACGCTTCGTCGGACTTATCAGCAACACGCCATTCATATAAGTGTACGGGGTTCCAAAGTTCGATCGGACTCAAGTGTTGCAGCTTAGGAACTCCTCCTCCGTGCATGTGAATCACATTCCTGGGATATCTGGCCAGTGATCGTAATCCCACCAATCGCCTGATTAGGTGCGCGCTACTATCGAAATGTGTTTATTTCTTAATTCGGATCGAGTGACGAAAAGTCCAAACTGCAGCCGGGTGAATAATTGTGGGGGCGTTCGTTCCCGGGTTCGGGTTCGGTTCGATGTGCTCGTTTCTCGCGGCGTCCCAGACAGCCTTAACCCACCAATACCGTCGAGTGGCTCCGTGGACACTGGACTCTAAGCAGTAAACGATTAAAAATAACATTTTCTGATAATACACAATAATAATTATTAATGATTATAAATGTTGAAAAACCAATTTGGCTTTAGCTTTTGGTAACCAAAATAATTATATATACATTTTCTAAATAAAAACAAATATCTTGAAGCAGTAAAAGTTAAGTTCCTGGAGTAATTATGATTTCTATCTTATGTATAGACAAATAATAGGATCTAATATTATTTTCTTAAAGCATTTTAAGCTGATGACCAGTATTTTTATTAATGTTTAAAATTGTAATTTAATTAACTTAATGGTGGGTTAATTTTTTACAGCTCTTTGTTGTCTGCAGATGACTATGGAAAATGCTAAAGGAAAAATCATAATCAGTTACAGAAATGTTCTTCATAGAACTGTACGTTGTTTGTGCTTGAAAAGATGATGAAAGTAATGATTGATTTAAAATGTATACAAAAAAAAAAAACATGATTAAGCATTTCCAATCAATTATATAAATGAGAAACAATAAAGAATTTTTTTAATACCTCTTTGTTAAGAATTTTTAGTTTAGGTAAACTTAAGATATTATCTTATATTATTATATTAGAAATTAGGAACGAAGTTTAATTATTTTGAACAGTTGTTTGTTTTACATAATCTTATCTTTATTTGAAAAGTAACAGTCGCTTGGCATTTATCAACACTGCATTTTGCAACACATAACAGCCGCACTTTCCTTACGTAAAACGATTACGTTTTGAGCACTTAACGTTATTTGCTTAGCCAGTGTTGTAAAGTTGATTTTTTAGTGTTGCACAGGTCGGCTTGGCTATTGGTAAATTGTTTGTTGCGTGTTTTGTTGGTACCAAAAAAAAAAAGAGTTTTTATTGATTTCGTCCAAAAGTGTTTATCCCAAATTATGTTTAACTGTTAAGTGTAAAGTCACCAAACCCAAAATGCATTACTTATTGTGCGTTATCAGCCTAGCGGGCTTGCTCGGCTCAGGTCAGTGATCTTCGGTTTTAAGCCACACCCATGGCTCCATGTGAATCATGTGGACAGACCCCCGAATCTCACACCTCCACACATTTCCCATTACAGCTCTTGGCCAGTACAATCAGTTGGAGCAGCGCAACTGCATCATTCCGAAGATCCTGCAGGGATCCTGGTTTTCGTGGGAAACGGGCCTGCCCACCCTGACGGTAATTGATGCCACCATGATGTCCAGCCGTGGCTTCTGCATCAACTACTTACGCCACCACGGCGACGAGTACTCGTTCGTCTTCAAGGAGCGCTCCAAGGATTGCTACCATTGTGTCAGGACAATCATTCGCACCCTGAACGTGTTTGAAAAATTCGAGGGTCCCTGCGTGAGTTTGCCGCCGGGCCAGGAGCCCACGGTGGAGAATGTGTGCAGGGGCATCAAGGACGACCAGCAGCTGATCACGCTTTTCAACGAGAACTTTGTGCCCATCAATTGCCGTTCCTCGCTGGAGGGAGTTTGGCACTTTACCTACCAGGTATGCTACGTGAATATATAGCTCAAACCAAGTCTGCTAAGCATTGATTAGTGGTTGTGGAAGCATTCGTTTTAAATTAATCGTTAAATTTTCCCATGTGTTGTGATAAGGGTCAGGGTTAATTAAGCAAATTAATCACTTTTAATGGAGTCTCCAAATTTCTATTCCCGCAGAATCGTTTCCGCTTCACTGGCGTGTGCGACAAGCCAGACGCTCGCATCCAATCCTGCCAAACGGCTGGCACCCAGTTTCTCATCCAGAATCAGAAGTTCAACATCACATACCAGAAGTGCGAGGGCATGGAGGGCACTTTCAGTGGCAACGTGGAGTTCAGCTGCCTGGGCGATTGGTTTGTGGGCAAGAACCACTATTTCGCGGTGGCTAATACAAAGGAGTCTCGTAAGGATGAGAAATACCGGTGCTTCCTCAAGAATCGTGACGACGATCTATACGTGGGTGTGTCCATCACTGCCGAATGCAACACGCTGAAAACGCCTGAGACCTCGCCCGAGCGTCTCAAGCTGACACCCGTAAAGGCTGAATTCGTGGAGCCGGGCTGCACGCTGCCCCAGAATTTTAGCGGCGAATGGGTCAATACGGCCAACATTGACGCCGATGTATCGATCAGTGAGACGCATATTAACGAGACCTACTATCCGGACAAGGCCCGCTACCGTAAAACCATCTATGTGTGCCGCGAGCGTCGTGGAAATCGTGTGATGATGGCCCGCTTGACAGTTGACGGTTGCCAGAAGGATTACGTCTGCTTTGACTTTATGCCTCGCCACCACAACATCATTCGCTACCGCAGGGGTTTGGCCGTTATCAAGGATGACTTCAGTACGGTCTGCTCATGGGTTCAGTTCCCTAATAAGGAGGCTTGGAAATATGACTTGTTCCTGTCTAGAAATCCAGTTCCCGTTCGCTGTCCCGTTGCGGGTAAATTCAACTTTACGCAAAGGGGAGAACATCCCTTTAAAACGAGGTGGGTATTGCACTTAAAACCAATTAATTTTGGAGTATTTGAACGTAAAATTACTTAATTGCTTTTAGAATTCTGGGTGGTGTCACCCTGAGTCCCCGCCCGGATATCCACTGCAAGCAAAACATCTCCGATTTATCGGTTTGCGATACTGACCAAAAGGAACTGGCGGTGGATGAGAACTACTGTCTGTCTGTGGATCACTTGGGTCGCCCAGTTGATATCTACAGTGATCCCGATTACCGCATGAAGTGCATTGGCTTCTGGAAAGAGAACCTAAAGTCCTACCTCATCACCTACGACGATCTAGATCCGCTCTCCAAGTACCGCTGCTGGGTGTACCAGCGCGCTGACCTCAACCGCGTCCTCATGTCGCAGGCTGTGGGTGCCTTCTGCAAGCTGGAGCAGGACGTGACCTCGTGGAATCACTCGGAGGGCGCCGCGGTAGCCATCGATGCTGTGGAGTACGAGCGAGAGCGCGACGACTGCCCCATGTACTTTGACGACGGATTGAACCCGTGGAAACCGTCGGATGCTTCCAATATAATCTTTGACTGGGACTTTTACCGGGCAGGTGCAGCGACCCTCGATGGACAACTGGCTTGGGTATTTGCCCTAGCCTGCGGGCTGATTGGGCACTTGGTCGCCCACTAAGTTCAAAGTATTTTTTAATTTTACCATTCAACGAAATTTACAAAAATTTACATTCAACCTCGAGTGACTTTTAGGATTAATTGTGTGCCTTAGAATGCGATTTATTGAATTTTATAAGCAAATTTATAGCCTATAAGTTGAGGAAACCGTTTTTTATATGTAATTAGCAACAGCCATTCCGTCCCGCAAGAATCTCAAATGTTTTTTGTTTACACAATTGAAGCACATAAATAAATGACTCGAAGAAATTTAATTGTTTATATATTCAATTTAGCAAAATAAAAGTGTAGGGCGTTAATTATTGCCATGACTGTATATCGATAACAGTTCGATTGTCTCGAACCGATGGCAGCAGGCAGTGTTGTACAATTTCGCAGTCAAGTCGGCCGAAGGTCCAACGGAGTGAACTATTATTTATTTTGAGCAAAAAATTTAAGTATTTGTAAACCCCCAAGATGTCCCTGTCGCTGGTCCTGCGTGGCGCTGCCCGTTGCAATGGTAAGGCCCTTCGATCTGGTCAATTACCCCAGTATTTGCCGCAAAACAGCTGTTATTATATAACCAAACTATTTGTTGGTATCCCTCTTTAGCCGCAAATCTCGTTAAATCGGCCCGCATCACGCCCCTGAAGAGCTATTCCACCCTTGTGGCCAATGCCCAGCGCCGGGCTGTGGTCCAGCCCCTGGCTTTGGCCAAGATTGCTGCGGTGAGTGTTGGAATACCCAAATCAGGAGGCACTGTGCAACATGTAATCTCCGCCTGCTTTTTCAGCCTGTTGTGCGTGAGATCTCCGTGAGCGCACCCCGAATGGCCTCTGCCGGCGGCAGCCACACATTGCTGTGGACGGTGGAACGTGTGGTATCAGCCGGTCTGTTGGCCGTCATCCCAGCTGCTTTCATCGCCCCCTCCCAGGTGCTGGACGCTCTGCTGGCCGTATCGGTGGTGATCCACGCCCATTGGTAAGTTATCCGCTTAAATCCGATCTGCTGCTTTGGATTCACTTATAAGTTGCAAATTCTTTCCATTTCAGGGGCGTTGAGGCAATGGTGGTGGACTACATGCGTCCCTCCGTTGTGGGCAACATCCTGCCTAAGGTGGCCCACATCGCGCTCATCATCATCTCGGTGGCCACGCTGGGAGGCCTCTTCTACTTCATCCAGAACGACGTCGGACTGGCCAATGGCATCAAACGCTTCTGGGCCATCAAAGGCAAGGATGCTGAGAAGAAGCAGGCTTAAGTTTGGTTAACCAGTTGACGAACCACGAAACACCAGTTATTTATTCATAGTTTCGCTATAATCAGGTCCGCGATAGGCAGTAAATAAACAATTGTATAAAGTAACGGCAGCACATGTTTTTATAGAAAATTGTATTCAACAAACACATTCGGATTGTAATAACACACTAAATTAGTCAGAGAAACGGGCACCACACCACAGCACCTTTGTTACGTATGGTAATCTATGTAAGCATTAAAACATTTGGTCTATTGTCCGGTATTGGTCATGACTTGGCCTCCACATTGTTTGTGTAGAATAACCTGAGGGCATCCCATTGTTTTGTGTGCAGCAGAATGTGCGGACGGCACTGACGCATGTGGTCCACCGCCTGATCTGGTGTCCAGCCATTCTTCTGCAAAAGCAACAAATGTATTAACTTTGACGGATCTCTTTTAAGGCGATGTTTAACTCACCATCATGAGGTAGCAGCCCACGAGGGTGGCACTGCGCGTCCGGCCCGCCTTGCAGTGCACATAGACGGAGCCCACGTTCTCCGGCGACTGGGTCGAACTGAGACCGCCGATCCGCTTCGTCAGGGGCAAGAATTGATTTATGAACTCCACACCGCGAAAGAGCTTCTCCTGGTTGGGCGACTCGAAGATATCTGTGGTGGCCAGCTGTAGAAACTCAACGCCCAACTTGCGCCATTTCTCCGTGTTGTTGGAAAAGGCGGTCAGCTCGTAGTCCTCGTTCATCGACACCACCGCCTTCATGTTCTCCTTCTCGATGAGCTAAAGATGGCCATAAGGTAGGTTACTCAGAACACTTGATCCTGGCTTGGATCCGGCCTACTTACGTCATTGGCCTGGCTGCGGAAGGGCAGGGCTCCCAGTATCACATGCTCGTCGATGCGGTCGTACCAGTTCCTGGCGGAGGCTTTCTCCATGAGGACATTGTAGAGGAGGGTGGGATAGAAGGATACACGCGCGAACATAGCAGCCTGGAATTACAGGTGGCCCAGAGCAGGAGCGGGGAGACAGGTGAGTAACGGTCGGGGGAGTGTGCGCAACAGCTGTAACTTTCACCAGCGCCGACAACCAAGTTTAAATAATGATTCGCTGTTTGACTGACTCGCTCGAAGCGCGGCTTGGAACTGGTTTCGGTTTCTGCTTCGACTGCGGCTTCTGGGTTTTGGGCCTGGGTGTCTGGCACGCAGGGCTCTACTTACACTCATCTCCATGCCGGGTGCTCGTTGGCTGCTGTCGGGATCGATCGAGACAATAGTGAGTGATTCACGGCCCAGAAACCTTCCTCGTATTCTAATTAGTCCGTCTCGGAATTATCACCTCCGATCGCACGTCAACAGTCTTTAGGTCGCCGTGTTCCTTTGCATAACGAAACAACAGGCGGAAGTCCAGGGGCGTAGCTCAGGGGTGATAAACAGGGCCTAAAATCCAAGATAAGGGTTGTGGCTGTTCATTTGGGTAAATTCTTGCTGTAAATATTGCACTTTATTTTATTTTATTTTTTTAATAATCTAATCTAATCTCAAATAAATATATTATATTTTTACATTAGTAAATCTTAACCCCTCCTATGAGCATTCCAGCTACGTCCGTGAATCCGTCTGTTTTCGCCGCGTCCCTTTGCAACACTGGCCAGTTACTTGCGCCTATTCACAACACTGGACTTAAAAAACATTTGCAACAAAAAAAAATTAAAGAATCTTACGTGTGAAATATTAAAACCAAAAAAAGACATCCGAGGGCATTCCAACCACCCGTCGCACCTAGTCAAAGATGTGCCAGCGATAGGCCGAACGTCCGCACCGATAAAAAGCTATCAATCTGTTCGTTGGCGCTGCGTCCGGAGGGAAGAAGTAATAACACAACACGTCAGACGTGAAGAGCAGATAGACGAGGCAAAGACGAAAATCAAAATTATTGTGTAAATTTACTAACTCCCATTGGAATTTCTTCTCCAACCACGCAGATAAGCAATGATTAAGGCTGATACGTGGATGTGCCTTCTGGTGCTGCTCCTGGTCTGGCGGCTGCGAGCGGAGGAGCTGCAGGGGCCCACTCCAGATGTCACGGGCAGTAGCACGGGTCTGGGCACGGGCACTGGCACCGCCACACCCACCCTGCCCGGCGAGTCGTCCACCCAAGCTGAGGCCGATGAGGTAACCACGGCGGAAACAGAGTCACGGGTCCCCGCGGAAAGCAATGAACGCAAGGCCGCCAAACCGAAGGACTCAACAGAGTTCGCTACGCGCACAAAGGTCATGCCGGCTGCCCTGCTCGAACGCCTCTATACCGACACTCTGATGAGGCAGCAGAAGCTTAAGGCCGAGATTGCAAAAATCGAGGCCCAACGCCAGCCAACTGAGGTGGCGGAACAAACGCCTGAGCAAATCGAAGGTAACCATCTTATAATCCTACCACCGCTGGATCTAATTCATCCATTTCCAGCGCAAACCATGTACGAGAACGCAATGGACATGCTGGCCAAGCCGCGGACGGACAAGCGAGTGGCCTTCACGCTGCTCAAAAAGGCAGCAGCCTTTAACCACCTCAAGGCAAGGGCCGAGCTGGCCTGGGCCGTGCTGCTGGGTCACTGGATGGACTTCGATTTCAACCATGCTGCCGACGAGTTTGAGAGCCTGGTCAACGAGGGAGTCCCAGAGGCACACATGGGCTTGGGATTCCTCTACTCGGCCGGAGTTGGCGGCAAGAATGTGAGCCAGCCACTGGCTCTCATCCACTACACGTTGGCCGCGCTCGGAGACAATACGCTGGCCCAGATGGCCATGGGATATCGCTATCTGTACGGCATCAATGTGCCCATCAGTTGCGAGAAGGCACTGATCCAGTACAAGCGGGTGGCCAAAAAGGTGGCCTCCAAGATCACCTTCGCCAACGGACCAATCGTACATCGTGTGCGGCTACTGGACGAGCTGGAGAATCCCGGTAGTCACGAGACCGAAATAGTGGACTACTACCAGCTGCTGGCCGACAAGGGTGACGTCCAGTCGCAGGTGGGACTGGGCCAGCTGTATTACCAGGGCGGCAAGGCCATTCAGCAAGATCACCAGAAGGCCCTCGAGTACTTCACCCAGGCAGCCAACGCAGGCAATGCAATTGGCTTTGCTTTCCTGGGAAAGCTTTATCTGGAGGGAAGCGAGCAAATCAAGGCAGATAATGACACGGCATTTAAGGTGGGAGCAAAATTGATAACAATTTCTGACTTATTTACTCATTTTGTGTATTTGTTTTGGTTCTTAGTACTTCTCCAAGGCCTCGGAAATGGGCGATCCAGTGGGCCAGAGTGGACTGGGACTGATGTACCTAAAAGGCTTGGGCGTGCCCAAAGATTCCATCAAGGCGTTGTCCTACTTCACCCAGGCAGCTGATCAAGGATGGGTGGATGGCCAACTACAACTGGGCAACATGTATTTCAGTAAGTAATTTTTAAATTGGATAATATTTGTTTATTTGTATATAATTTATTTATTTGTTTGCCTTGATTATAGACTATAGACTCGAAATACTTGTTTTGTTTTCTGGTTATCTAATATTCCTTTCTTTTTAGCTGGAAATGGCGTAAAAGCTGACTACAAGCTGGCCCTCAAGTACTTCAACCTGGCCACGCAGTCCGGCCATGTATTGGCCTACTATAACCTGGGCGTAATGAATGCCTACGGCATGGGTATATTGCGTTCTTGTCCAGCAGCAGTTGAGGTATGTAAACGTGATGTGTAAAACGGTTTAGATACTTTTACATGGGTTTATCACAGTTCTTCAAGACCGTTTCCGAGCGTGGACGTTGGAGCAGCCGCCTGATGCACGCCTACAGCGACTACAAGACGAATCGCATCGATGAGGCATACATGCAGTATTCGCTGATGGCCGAAGTGGGCTATGAGGTGGCCCAGAGCAACGCCGCATTCCTCCTCGATCGCGAAGAGGTGCATGTATTCAATGATCGGCATGAGGATCTGATTCGCGCCTTCTACTACTGGAAGCGAGCTGCGGGACAGGGCTACTCGGCTGCCCAAGTTAAGCTGGGCGATTATTATTACTACGGCTGGGGCACAGCCACGGACTTTGAGACTGCAGCCGCTCTTTACAGGTGAGTAAATAAATCCTTTCACAGCTGCTTAAACCATTATCAACCAATTTCGACTTTACAGGAAAGCATCCGAGCAGCAATATAATGCCCAGGCGATGTTCAACTTGGGTTACATGCACGAGCAGGGGCTCGGAATGAAGAAGGACTGGCATTTGGCCAAGAGATTATATGATCTGGCTGCCGAGACCAACTCAGACGCCAAGGTGCCAGTGGCCCTTGCACTCTTTAAGCTGCAGATGTTAGCAAAGATTGAATCAATCAAGGAAGTATGCTATTATAAAAATAAGGGATTACCTGGCTTCCTTTCTGATCTATTCCTCCCTCAGTCCCCATACAGGTTCATCTTCTACATGGATGAAAACATTGCCGCCAACTGGGATTTGTACATGATAACCGTTTTAACTCTGCTGCTGGGCATCATCATGTACATGAGGCGACCATTTCAGCAGCAGGATCAGCCGGCAGCAGCACCTGCTGATGATATAGCCGCTGCGCCTGTTAATCTGGCTCCGGTGGGAGCTGAAGCACCCGTAGTGGCCGGCGCTGAGGCTGCAGTGAGAGCACCTTCCGCCGCTGCTGCCGTTCCTCAAGGTGCACCTGCGCCATCCACATCTGCGGGAGACTCCGCCACGGCTGTAGCACCGGAGGGAGCTAGTAGCTCAACGACCGCGGCGCCAGATGGCGTAAACGCCAACACACTCGGTCCCACTGACTAGTCTTAGCGAATTGGTTAATCATCCCTCTAGGTTAATTAGTGTGCGTGTAAATATTTATCATCTAATTTCGCCGATTTAATATTTTTTATTAATTCTAAAGCCGACCTTTTTAGATATTTAAAAAATATCGTACTCAGAAATGAATGTTGTACTGATAAACCAATGAACCGATCGACATTTGTTATATGTTTTCTTTTATTTTGGGCTCTGTTACTAGTCATTCGGCTTCCCAAAGTTAGCTTACGTTCTTTCGGTTTATTGTATTTTATTTTTCCAGGTTTATTTGTATGGGCGAGCGGAAAATGTAGAGTTAAACTGCAAATTTTTAGCCTAAGCGTAGTAGTTAAGATTAGCTTTCTTCTTCGCCTGCACCTCCATGATGGCGTCCATGAAGTCCTCGTGCGTCACAGAGGTTGCTGAACGACGCAGAGCGATCATGCCGGCCTCCACACACACGGCCTTGCATTGGGCGCCGTTAAAGTCATCCGTCGAGCGGGACAGCTCCTCGAAGTTAACATCATTGCTCACATTCATTTTACGCGAGTGAATCTGCATAATGCGGGCACGAGCCTCCTCATTCGGATGGGGGAACTCGATCTTACGATCAAGACGACCGGAACGCAGCAGAGCGGGATCCAAAATATCCACACGATTTGTGGCAGCAATAACCTTAATGTCTGCCGTGGAGCTGAAGCCGTCCAGCTGGTTGAGCAGCTCCAACATGGTGCGCTGCACCTCACGGTCGCCGGCCTTCTCCGAATCGAAACGCTTGGTGCCAATTGCGTCCAATTCGTCGATGAAGATAATAGCTGGAGCCTTCTCCTTGGCCAGGGCAAAGGCATCGCGCACCAGCTTTGCACCGTCGCCAATGAACATCTGCACTAGCTGGGGACCGGCCAACTTGAGGAAGGTGGACTTGGTCTGAGCAGCGCAGGCACGGGCCAGCAAGGTCTTTCCGGTTCCAGGGGGGCCGTACAGGAGAACACCTGAGAATAAGAGAGACTCAGTTGATTAACTTGGACACAAGAAGGGGTAAGAGATGCGGTTCCCACCTTTGGGTGGGTGTATGCCAAGGTTCTTGAACTTTTCCTTGTGAGTCATGGGCAGTACTACCGCCTCGATCAGCTCTTGGATCTGCTTGTCCAAGCCACCGATGTCGGAATACTGCTCTGTGGGTCGCTCGTCCACCTCCATGGCCTTGACGCGAGCGTCATACTCGGCCGGCAGCGTCTCCAGGATCAAGTACGAGTCCTTGTTGACGCCCACCAGATCACCGGGCTTCAGTTTTTCGGCATCCACCAGGCCGATGACTGGCAGGAAGTAGGCCTGACGAGTGGAGGTTTTGATGACGGCGCACTTCCCTTTGCGCTGGTTGTCCAGCACAGTGACAGAGCCGTCGTCCTCCTCCTCCTGCGGATCCACATCCAGCAGCTCTATTACATTGGACACCAGGTAAGGCAGCGTTTTGTTAACCTACAGGGAACGGAGAAGCGTTTAATGCCGGTTTTCGGCAGAGCCTTCCTCGGTCTCACCTTGATCTTCTCGGTGTTGTCCTTGATCTTCTCGTTCTGCGCCTGGATCTCGTGCGTGATCCGCATCACCTCGCTCTTCATGATCTTAATCTCGTTGTCCATCAGTCGAGTCCTGCTCACAATCTCATCGGTGGACATACGCATCACCTCCTCGCCCAGCGACTCCTCGCCGTCCTCCCAAATCGACTTGTCCTCCAGAGTCTGAGCCATGTTTAGTTAGCTGGTTGCCTGCCCTTAGTATAAATTACTCTTTGTTCAATGCAATTATTGCCGATCTTTTCTCAAACACTCTGCCGATGACTTGTAAATTTCTTGTTTTTTCTTGCGGCGAGTTGACAGCACTGGCGAACAGTGTTGGGTAATCGCGGCATGTGCCGCTCGGATAGCCGCGCGGTTATCGATAGCCGCGATAGGCAGATCAGGCTCTTTTGCACACTGGCAGAGAACGCTCTTTTTCTGTAAAAAAAAAGATTGGCAATTTATATTAACAAATTGCTAAAAGCCAAAAGTTTGCGATGTCCGACAACAATGGTGAGTGCTGTGATTAGCGACATAGGTTCAGTGGAACCCTAGCCATCCCCAAGGACTGCGGGCTGGTGGGCCATCTCTGGCAAACTATAACCCGAATCTTGTTTTTTCTTGTCACAGAAGCGTCAGTCGAAACTAACTGTTTCCGCAGTAGCTTCACCCTGAAGGCCTCGCGCTTGGGCGGGGCTGTGCTCCGACCGGCAGTGCTGGCCAACAGCAGCGGTTCCCCCAATACCTCCGGCGCCAGTGGCAGCGACAAATCGGAGGACAGTGTCCTGATTAACAATCCCTTTCTGCGCGAGGCGAAGGACGAGGAGGAGGAGGCAGACGACGTCTCGGCCCCGGTGGCCCAATCCTCCAGCGAGAAGGTGGCGGAGAAGGAGGACGAAGAGGTCGACGAGCGCCCAGATCCGCTGACCAAGCTGCGCAGCAACGGCATTGAACGCTCCAGTATGTTTGCCGCTGCCAAGAACAACATGCCTCATGTCCAGACCAGCGGCTTCGTGTTTGGTCAGAACGTACACGAGCGCGTGGTTGCCCCCATTACGGATCAGGCCAGCGCCGAGGAAGCTGAGGCGGGAGCCAATTCAGGATCGGGTGCCCAGGAGGCCGCTTCCTCCTCCACAACCACTTCGTCACAGCTGCTATTTTCTAGCGTCATCCAGAACGCTGCCCAGACCACAGATACCAGCGAGGCTGCAGCAGCTTCCTCCTCTACCTGCACCAGCAGCAACAGCAATAACAACAAGGAATCAGCAGAGGCCAAGAGCCTGACAGATGTGGCCCGGGAGTACGAGGAGAGCCGCGCCCAGAAGCGCAAGTACGAGGAGGTGGAGACCTTCACCGGCGAGGAGGACGAGATAAACATATTGGACGTCAGCTGCAAGCTGTTTGCCTTCCTGAACAGCAACTGGGAGGAGCGGGGCCGCGGCAGCCTGCGACTGAACGATGCCAAGGACGGGCGCGGCAACTCCCGCGTGGTCTTCCGTACCTCCGGCAATCTACGTTTGCTGGTCAACACCAAAGTCTGGGCCGCCATGGTGGCGGAGCGGGCCAGCCAGAAGTCTCTTCGCCTGACGGCCATCGACAACTCGGGCGTGGTAAAGATCTTCCTGGCAATGGGTCGTCCGGCGGACATCGCCCAGCTAATTAAGGCACTCAGTGAACGCATCGCCAAGCGCAAGGTCACGCATCCGGAGGAGTGCAACGTGGAGGAGACGAAAAACGGTGTGGCTTCAGAGGCCGCCGCCAGCCTGCAGCCGGAGTCGACTACCCATGATGACGAGGACGAGGATAATGCATCAGGAGCTGCGGGGTCCTCCGGCACCGTTTCTGCCGAAGCAGACAGCAACGAGCCGAGCCCCAAGAAGTTGATCGTCCAGCCAGATAGCAGTGGCGATGTCCGCGTGCCTCCAGTGGAACAGGCCGATGAGGATGCCGAGGCCGAGGCCAAGGATCAGAATTAACCGCCACCGCTCGATCTTCTTTTTATACGATTCATACTTGGAGTAACACACAACAAACAACAACAACAACCACTAATTAAAAACGCGCCGTGAATTATTATAAATTAATTATAATAATTTATTAATAATTATTATTATTAAAAGTAAAATAAATGAAGTGCTGATTTGTGAACCCATGAGCAGCGTCTACAAAAGACATTTATCCATTACGTTTTGTGTTTGTATTTTTTGTTGTTAAAAAACGAAAACAGAAACTAAGATACCGGATTCGTACTCGATCCAGAATTAAACGTTTTAATTTAGTCACTATGTAAACCGTATGTACTACTTTTCGCTTACGAAATACTTTTTACAAGTTCAGCCCTTGCACTAGTACCGATCATAGCTCTCTAATGACTGGCCTCTGGCGGCGGGGAATGGAGGAGTCCCGCTGCCAGGAGTCGCGGATCTGCATTCCAGTATTAAGTTAAAGGTGAAAAAAATAGCGTTACAATCTAAGTGGAAGTAAAAGTAGCAGTGACTGGACAGATCGCCCCATCCTACGCTCACAGCTTTGGCTTCAAGAGGATTCGTAGCTGCTTCTCGGTTCCTTGGCCTGGCCAATCATCAGGTTATTTATCAAGCAATTTATGAAACATATTCAACTACAAGGTAACACCTAAAGACATGAGTTGCATCTCGCCAGCCTGGCCTGTCCGGTCCGGATAGTGTCTATGTACAAAAGGGAAGAAGGCGGCGCCCCTGCAGCGCCCAATCTTAGCTGATGGTGCTGCAGCTGGAGACGGTCACGTTGAGGGGATTGTTGGCGCTGCTTACGGCAATGGAAGAGCTGAAACGAAGCAATTAACATTTTGAATTAAATATTTAATAGTTTTAACTTGTTAATAATCCAACTCACCGATTGTGCCGCATGTGACTCTTGACTAGATCGCTGTTGACTAGCGCCGCCATGAGGCTCAGTTCGCCAGCCATAACCGTGGCACAAACAATCTGCGCCAGCTTCTTTGCATTGTCTCCTGGCCTTGTGGCGTGTGCTCCGCGCACTCCCAGCATCTCCAGGCAGGCGCTCTGACCCGGCAGCCCCGTGCCACCCCCAACAGTGCCCACCTCCAGCGAGGGCATCGTGCAGGTCATGTACAAGTCTTCGCTGTTCTCCACCCAACACTCCATGGCTGTGGAGCAGTTGCTGGATGTGACATTCTGGGCGGGATCCTGCCCGGTTGCCAGGAAAACGGCGGTTACCATATTGGCTGCGTGCGCATTGTTGCCTCCAATGCTGCCGGCCATGGCGCTGCCACCCATATTCTTCAGTTTGTTGCACTCGACCAGCGTCTTGGCATCTGTCTTTAGCACGGAGCGCAGTGTGGCCGCCGAGATGGTGCACTCGGTGACTACCCGCTTACCGCGCCCCTTGATCCAATTGATGGCCGCTGGCTTCTTGTCGCAGCAAAAGTTTCCGCTAAGGGAGATGATCTGCATGTCGGGGAACTGGCGCTTGATGCGACGCAGCGCCATCTCGGCGCCCTTGGACACCATGTTCATGCCCATGGCGTCGCCGGTGATGGCCACAAAACGGATGTACAGCTGGGGTCCATCCATGGCGATGTGGCAGTCCTTCAACCGGCCGAACCGTGACGTAGAATCGAATTCCGTCTTCACCACCTGATAGTTGACTTCGTTCTCGATCCATGACTTCGCCTCGGCAGCACGAGCCACACTGGGGAATCTCACGCACGGTGCCCGGGTCATGCCCACGTCCTCCACCACGGAGCGAACTCCGCGAACTGAGAGAGCCTTGCATCCACGATTCGTAGAGGCCACCAGGGCACCCTCTGTGGTGGCCATCGGCACATAGTAGGTCTCTCCGTCCAGCAGCAGGGGTCCGGCATAGCCCACAGGAATGGGCACATAGCCGAGCACGTTCTCGCAGCAGGCATTAAGGACCCTGCGGTAGTCAAAGTGCTCATAGGGTAACACATCCAAACGACCTGGCGGCATCTTGGCACGACCGGCAATGATCTGCCGCCGGATTCGAACTCCCCTCTCCGGATCGTCCAGCACCGACTCGATCTTGTACAGTGGACAGTGAGTGCCACCAGCTTGGACAATGGCCACGATCTCCTCATCACTCAGCGCAGCGGGTCCATTTCCATCTTCAGTGGAGTTCAAGATGTCCAGGCACTCCTGCAGGGGTCTTGGAGGCCTGATGGGCTGGACAAGTCGTTGGCGCAGAGGCAAAAGCTCTGTCTGAGTGGAAGCATTGGCCGAGCTCTGTTCTTCGATGGTAAAGAGCGGCGTGCGGACAACAGCCGTAGCCGGAGTAATCTCTGCCTTAGTCTCTTCCTCAATGGGTGTGGTCTGAGAGGCCTTGACGGCAATGGCCACTGGCCCGGATGGACGCAGCTGCTCTGGCAGGGGATCGCGATTGTCAAAGCAAATGAACTTGACCACCAGGGCAATGAGAACAATGGAGATCACTATGTGGTCGGCGCTCATCGTCAGCCATCTGTAAAAAAGACATCCAATTTATTGGTAAATGTTAAAAGTTCAAGAAGTCAAGATATGTATTTTTATGTCTTATGTTTTTAAGATTCCTTTATTTACTGACTTAAACTTTAGTATTTTCTACTTACTTGATGATGATGTCTGTGATTTCAGCCGATTCCGTGCGATTGTTGCTCACGTTTAGGCTGAGCGTCGGTGAAAGCGTCTTGTCCACGGTGTCGTAGTCACTGCCCGAGAAGGCCACCCGGCTGTAGATGTGCACGGCCATCAGGCCGGTGGTCATGATTAGCTTGACGCGCTGCAGCACTGGATTGGCCTTCTGCTCCTCCTCGGTGAGCGACTTGAGCAGCAGCGAACCCTTGGCTTTCTCCCGCACAACGGACATGTCAACGCCAGACCGTGACAGGTCAAAGATCAGCGAAAGGCAGGCGGGATAGAAGGTCATGAAGACCACGTAGTTAACCAGCACCGAAAGCACGGCAAACATGCAAAGCACCTCCAGGCGCTGCACTCCCGACAGCGTGCCCACGCCCACTAGCAGCACCTCCACAATGGTGTCCAGGGAAATGGCTGGTCCCAGAAGCTCTAGGCCGCGGGAAATGTTCTGGGTCACCTCCGCCTGGTTGCTGCCCGAGAGAGCCAGTTGGGCCAGTCGGCCGGAGTTGGACAGGTCAATGACCAGCAGGAGGAAGAACAGGGCGTCCCTGAAAGTAAGTGGAAAAAGTGGGTTTTCATTGTCAATTTAATTAGCAAGTTTAGTAATTATTTTTGTCTGGGTGTACTCACTTTAGGTCAGAGATGTCGCTGCCCAGGAACTTGATGATGGCCGTCGTGAAGATGAAGCTTGAGAAGACCGTGAAGAGGCCGGCGATGCCTGAAAGAGAACGCGGGGCATTAGACATCAGTCGGAGGCATTAGCGGACGGAGGTCGAATCGTTTAGAGCGCACGTGAGAAATGCCAGGGAGGCAGGTAACTGGCTGGCAACTACCTGTCCGCCCCACCTCTAAAATCTTGGCCAAACATTCCAGTCTTGTGTGTGGTTTGCGTTTTTTCCCAGCTTTTCGGGGGCCGCCGAAATAGTTCGGGGCGGGTGCAAACAATGCCAGCATTCTAACCACTTTGGTCAACACACGTGCCCCTCAAACGAATCGGATCCACTGGGGGATTACATCACGACGGACCAAGGGCGAGACTCACCTAGCACATATTTGGAGCCCATTCGGTGGAGGCTGCAGAATTGGTAATAGCAGTAGAGCACGGCCGTGCAGCGTACAATGGTCATGAGGATGACGTCGGCGGCATTGTATTCCGCCTCCAGGCCATCGCAGGACTGGCTCCATCCGTGGCAGGGCCGGTGCCGGCTGGAGGTGGCCGAACCTCCCACTGCCGGTGGCGGCATAGGTGCTCCTGGTGCTGCTCCAGTTGCGGCAGCCGAGGCGGTGGCTGTGCCTAGACCGCTAGTGGCATCCAATGTGTTGTTCTTGTCCACCGTCAGCATGCAGGCAGTGATGGTGAGCAGGGCCACGATGACCTCCCAGGGATGAGAGGCGCAAAACTCGCCGTGGGCGCGAAACAAACGTCCAATCATGGTTGCGACACGTCCGAGTCCCGTCCAGATCTGGCCAATCTTGGCTGGCTGTGGAGAGGAAAAAGGAAAGGGAGAAGCACTTGTCAGTTAACGCACTTCTCGGTTTGCGCGATTTCTGGGCTCTGTCTGGTTTGGGTCTCCCTTTGATGTGTCGCCCAAGGACGTTTGGGGCCAGGATGCGGGCCAGGCCAGTCAACTTTTGTGCGCTGCATAAGCGAGGGGAAGAAAATAGGTGTAGGCAAAGGCAAAGGAAAAAAGGCATAGGGCAGTGAGTTAACTAAATCAACAGGGAGAAACATATCGATTTAAATGTTGACACATTCACAGGCCCCTAGGCCACTAGGCTCCTATGCCCCCCTCTCGGCTGAGACGATAACGACGACGACCCCTTGAAAAGGAAACGGAGAAACACGTTATTACACTAAGCGGATTTGTACGGGCAGGGCAGAGCGTCCTTGAACGCCGGCACGCCTCAATCCCTGGGCCAAGACGAACATAAGCAGCAGCAGCTCCTCCTCCTGCCGCAGATGCAAATCCGTGATTGATAGCTTAAGCCGGGGCCAAGTTCCAAGTTCCGCATGCCGCTGCTCGACTTCAGAGTCTGGTTTAATTAAGCCATTGGGCAATCTTACTGGACGATCGTTCGCCGCCCACCACGTGCCCGGCATAAAAAGAGCTCCGGTCCGAACTAGCCATCTATCCTGCCTCCCAGTTAGACGACGTGCCATAAATATTCAAAGAGTCCCGCCTTTGCACAGCTGCGCCGGCGCACAATCTCCGCGCGCAGCCATAAACAATGTTATCCATTTTGTTGTAAAGAAAATAAAAAGGGAAACATAAGAGGCAAAAAATAAACAAATAAATATGCTAAATAAATCAAATGCCACTTTGGCGCAGTCAAAAGGCAAACCCAGATCCCGGGGGATCTACGAGTGCCACTATCAGCAGTGCCAAGTGCATGAACATTGTGTAATCCGAAGCCTTTGGGGCCATAAACCATCGTAGCGCTCAAGGCGCGGTCCTGACATCCTTTTAAATCTTTATGGGATGCCCTGGGCACAGAGAATTGTAGTTTGTTTTCCCCATAAGAAGATCTTAAA